ACAGACAGCAGGACAAGGGCAAATTTTGAAGTTTGGGCTCATGTCTAGGGGTTTGTGTCCATGGCATCTACCATAAGATCTTATCCTGAGTAGTGTTATCTAATTGCTTGCTAAACAAAAGTTTCTAAAATGTGCATTAGATTCTGTCAATTTCTTATTTAAAATTCTTCAATGTTTCTTCATGGTCTATAGCATAAAATACCAAACACATTGATATGTAAACCCTTGGTGATTTTGCTTATTGTTACAGTTCCAGCATCATTTCTCCCCACCTTGGCCTGATCTTCGCATCTCCCACTACTCACTCTGCTCAGACCAAACCATTTTCAGGACAGTTATTCTCAGGCTTGTGTACTGTGATGCACACTGCTGGCTTTTCTTGGAACCTCTTCAAGAATCAGCTCAAAGGTTACCAGTACTCAGGTGTTTCAGACTCCCCTTTCCCTACTTGTAGTAGCACTAGGCACACTGTCCTTTGTTTCCAGAACTCTTGCCAATAACTCTATTATTGCACTTACCACACTAACCCCTTTGTTACCTGCCTTTCCTACTACACTGCAAACTCCACTGGGTGGGAACTTTACTTAACTCATCTTTGTATTCCTAGAACCTAGCATAGTGCCTGACACATAAGAAGCATGAGTTAATGAGCACTTTTCGTTAAATCCTTTGATTTAAAGGTGCTTGCAAAATGACTATTTTTAGGTTGATTATTTTCATCATTATTAGGAATACTTTGTAAGTGGTGACTTTTTAAAGTGCAAAAACAGAAAAAAGAACAAGCTCACATTTGGGGAATAAAAGGGATGAGCTATGTATTCTAAAGGCGTGTTAGTTGGCATCTTCCTGTGAAGGGTCACACTAATAAATGACCATATTAGGCCATTTGCTCCATTCAGAATGAAGCAAATAAATGCCAGGTTTAGAGAACATCTTCAGTTCACCTTTACATTCTGAAGAATTAGCCAGTCAGGCAATTACTTATTTTAATTTCCCTCCATTTCTTTTCATATTTGTCCCAAAAGTTTTCGAAGGGAATACTATGGATATAGATAGGCATTTTATTTCAAACTATTTTATAATTCAAAATGGCCTGGAACTTCTCTCAGACATTTTTACAGAATGTGTACTGTGATGCACACTGCTGGCTTTTCTTGGAACCTCTTCAAGAATCAGCTCAAAGGTTACCAGTACTCAGGTGTTTCAGACTCCCCTTTCCCTACTTGTAGTAGCACTAGGCACACTGTCCTTTGTTTCCAGAACTCTTGCCAATAACTCTATTATTGCACTTACCACACTAACCCCTTTGTTACCTGCCTTTCCTACTACACTGCAAACTCCACTGGGTGGGAACTTTACTTAACTCATCTTTGTATTCCTAGAACCTAGCATAGTGCCTGACACATAAGAAGCATGAGTTAATGAGCACTTTTCGTTAAATCCTTTGATTTAAAGGTGCTTGCAAAATGACTATTTTTAGGTTGATTATTTTCATCATTATTAGGAATACTTTGTAAGTGGTGACTTTTTAAAGTGCAAAAACAGAAAAAAGAACAAGCTCACATTTGGGGAATAAAAGGGATGAGCTATGTATTCTAAAGGCGTGTTAGTTGGCATCTTCCTGTGAAGGGTCACACTAATAAATGACCATATTAGGCCATTTGCTCCATTCAGAATGAAGCAAATAAATGCCAGGTTTAGAGAACATCTTCAGTTCACCTTTACATTCTGAAGAATTAGCCAGTCAGGCAATTACTTATTTTAATTTCCCTCCATTTCTTTTCATATTTGTCCCAAAAGTTTTCGAAGGGAATACTATGGATATAGATAGGCATTTTATTTCAAACTATTTTATAATTCAAAATGGCCTGGAACTTCTCTCAGACATTTTTACAGAGTGAGGCCTACATGTTTTTCTTGAACTTTCTGTATTTTTTTCTATAGCTTTTCATCACATTTTCTCATGATAATGGGCTCCACCTTTAGATATTTAAATTCCTTCTACAGTGACAAGGAACATACCAATTATGTCAACAAGAGGCAAGTATGAGGGAGAACAGCAAAAATTTGAGACCGTACTGCATTACTCCAGCAAGGTGAGATGCCTACTTGATGATGGCACTTTAGAATTCACAAGAGCATGTGGGAAGCATCAGCATAGTGCTTTATGTGTGTATCACTTAAGCCAGAAGCTGAACTCTTCCTTCTGTGCTCTGGAATTAGGAGTTAAATCACAGAGTCATAGAATTTCAAGATTAGAAAGGATTTAGAGATCATTTACTCCAACTTCTCTATATGAATGAATAACCTACCACACCTGTAATAGGTCCTCTTCATTCTCTTCTTGAATCCCTTCGTGATAGTGAACTTACTATGTTCCCCCAGTGCTTTAGGTAAAAATAAATGCATCTCATTATATTTCAGACAGATTTTCCACCTTCTATAATAATAGTTATTTTCAGCACTGTGAAACCTACCAATATGATTAGCATGACTCATATGTCCTTGACTATTTTGTACATAAAAAAGGGAGGGAAGGAAATTATGGAACATGCAAGCCTTTCTGTCTACCTATGCCATCTCTTTCCAGAAAGGATCTGAAATGAAATGACTTAAAACACCTGGATGCAATAGAGTGATTATAATAAAGATAGAAGTTCGAACTCTTGAAAAGAAATGCTTGACTCAAAGGGTAATATTGTTGCTGGCATTGAAATTAAATTCACCAGTGGGCTTTCTACAAGTCAGTAAAAAAGAAGAAATATAGTGGGTTACACAGTCCTCCTTACCCAACAGAATGTATACCAATCTTCCATTAAACAAAAACTTTTCTTAGTTCTGTATTACAAGAGAAATTTCTCATGCATCATCTTATAAAAGAGCTTTATTTCTTAATTTTCTATGTGCACATTCATTTTCACTGTCTAATATATTGCCAAGGGTGTTGGACACCCTTCTTTTTTTTACAAACTTCAACTCATCCTGTGCTAACCAACCAAGTTTTTTATTCTGCTGAATATAGGGGACAAAGCCTGGATAGCTACTTTTTTCAAAGGGGGCTAGGAAAACACCTTAAACTATCAAAATCTCCTTTTTTGTCAATGTTATGAAGCCATAGTTCCAATTCTTATTAGATGGGAACAAATGAGAAACCGAGTTAATCTCTCTACAGCATCATTATTCCTTCACTTCTTCGGAAACAACTGCAGTTGGGTGATCACTAGGTACAAAACGACATACTTGTTTAGAGACAGCAGTGCATAAAGCACAGCAGACCAACAAGCAGACAGGGCTGTAAGGGTCGGCCTGAATAACTGGTAAGATTTTGGATCTCTCACAAGGAAAGTGAGTTCATTATGTAAGCAAAAGGTGATAGTAAAGCTGTCCCTGCTGCAGAGGCAAGGTGAAGAATTTGGGGTTTCTCACATAAACATCTCCATTATTTTCCAAGGAAGGGCCTTACAGAACCCTGCAACCTAAGTTTCAAACAGGCCAGCTGTGTCTTCCCACAGAAGCCCTGTGGTTCTACAATACTTCCCTCTGTTCCTCCCTGGATTGTAGGTGGGGAGGGGATTTGCCCACATAATGACCAGTGTACCTTTGAAGGCATTTTTGGTACCTAGGACATCAGTAAGGCCCTCGGTAAAAATAAATTACTTTCTTCACAGTGATTATTACAGTTGTTTAGACTTTACTTGGACTACCTGGTTCCATTGTTGGCTTCTAAATAAATGAAGACTGAGAGATCTCACCTTTTCTACACCTGAAGCCAGCCAGGCCTATTCAGCTTTCATCTTTATGGCTAGAAAAAATAAACCTGTAGTCTTCATTTTGTCTGTCCAAATGCGGTATCTCATTATTATTATTGTTGTTGTTGTTGTTGTTGTTGTTGTTGTTGTTGAATCTGTATTCCAACTACAGGTCCCTTGAGGCCAATGAACTAGATTCAATTCTCACAAATTAGTCATTGTAAAATAAATGCAAATGTAGTAAAAGTAATCTCCACACTGAATGAGGCTGTTGTATGCTGGACAATTGTATTCATGGTGTTGCCATGAAGAGAATGAGAGTGATTGCAGATTTATTCTAAAGACATCAGAATACCTTTGAATGGGTAAACCAAAACAAAGGATTTGGCTTTTTACAGAATTAGAACAAACAGAAAACACATTTGTTTAAAGCTGGTACATTACAGGGACCTCACGGTAAATGCTAATGCACATGCTGATGGTTGACAAGTGCAAATATGCATGCTGATCATTTTTTCAGATCACAGTTTATTATGACACAACTGCCAGAAATCAAAGTCAAAGCTAAGCAAAAGCCAGCAACCAACAGCATAATTTTCTCTTCATTTTTAGCTATTCTATTCCACACACCCGCTTTTTGATTTGCAGGAAGCCTGGGAATAGAGGCTAAAAAATAGTAATGAAAGGGGCCTATGAATTACTGGGTAATTTTTAAATGCCATACACCCATGAGGGAGAAACACCAGTTGGGACAAGCACATATTTCCCTAAAGCATTTAAAAATACCCTAAAACGTCCATGATGTGTCGGTGAATGGCTGTCTCTAGGAAAGGTCTCTGCTTTTGGAAGCTGAGTAGCAGAAGTACCTGGTATGAAAGAAGCTGGCAAGGCAACCCTACATTTGCAATAGTGAATCACAGAGGAAACAGATGCATAAAACAACCACTCGAATGTGTTTGCTTCTCCAAAAAGTGGTTAAATCTTGTAAAGCATTTTTAGGCCTCCCTTTTTGAGAAATACAGTCTCTTCAGTCCAATAACTTATGGAAGTTCATTTGCTGAACAGGAGAGGATATCCATTACTCATGGAAAGATTTATTCTCCATAGTTTACTTTATAAATATTTTTAGGCTAAAAATATGTCATTTCTCCCTCACAGTAGACACAATTCTACATTAACAGGAAAATGGTACCAAAAAATAAGCTTTCTGTGTTTGTTAAAAGATGTATTTCCAAGAAAAGAATTGCTTACCTGTTGGTAACAGGCCCCTTGAAATGAGGATCAAATACCCTTGGATCACCTGCATTTAAAACAAAGACCTGTTTAAGTATATAAGCCAAATGAACAGCAAATAAATATACCTAACGTACTAATAAAGAAAAATCTGCATCTTGGCTAGTGCACTGCTCAGTGCAGTGTTGAATTCATTGTTTGGTCCAGGGAAACATCAGCTCTCCCTTGGTTACAGCTGTCAGTCCTTTTCCCTGTCTCCAGCCAGAAGCAAGACTGGGAGGATTTGTTAACAACCATATTCTGTGCACACTGTACCCATATCTTTCATTGTTCTGTTCTGGGTAGCAACATTAAAGATTGCATCCAGAGTAGCAAACTTGAAGCCCTTCTCACCTGCAAAACTGTTGCACCATCTACCTTCACCAGGTATTTCTGAGTACTTCTGAGGTGCACAGTGCAACAGAGATGCCTGCTTATCTGGTTGTCTCTCTCCTCTCAGTAGATTAGGTTTTCCTTCGAGAAGTTGCAGTATTAGCTACTGTTAATCTCTGCCAATGTTGACTATATGCCATATACAAATTGTTATTATATTATATAAACATTATTTTTATTGATTTTTTTTTTACCTACTGGCAGACTTCATGCCATCTGGGAAATGCCTTAGTCACTCATTATTATGTCATGATTGTAACGTATTAACCCTGTCTTAAATATACAAGGTATACACAAAATGGCTTTTACCCTCAATATGTATTGTGTGGGCAGGGCTGGTAACAAATTCTGTTAAATCATTTCTAGCCCAAACTCTATATTTTGCAATCCCCAGCCCCCAATTCTTCTCCCCAACCTAAGCTTTTCTACCCCTTCCTCTAGAGATTTGTCTTTGTAGGAAGGCCTGGTCCTGAATTAAAGAAAGAATTCCACAAGAGACTAGCAATAAAGGTCCCAATGTATCAGCAACCCAACTCGACCCTTACTCAGTGGGGAAATTAGGTTTGAGGACTCAGAGGCCTCTTTACTGTAATCACAGGCTGAGGGCAGAACAACAGGAAGGTAATGACAGATTTGCAACAGAAATCCAAGAGCCAGTCAGACAGCAAATATTCATAAAGCCCCTAGGGTGCAGAGCTCCAAGGACATCAGAGATACACAAAGCACAGTCCCTATGTTGGACCCCTTACAGTTGTTGAAGCAAGACTGACATATTGATTCACTCAACAAGTATTTCTTAAGAATCTTTAAATCCTAGGCTCTGTGTTGCAATACATGAACAATGGCTAGAGCACATAAAACAATTAAAGAAAGTACTAATTTGTATAGTATTAGCCTTCAGTATTACAACAGTTCTGAGAAAGTAGGTTCCATCAAGGACTAGAACAGTCAAGAGGGTTTCATTCAAGAAGCGAGAGTTTCATGAAAGACTGGAACAAAACAAAAGGGAAAAGAGAAACTTTCTGGCTGCATAACTAGAATTCTGTTAAACTCTGTAACTAATTATTGATCACATGTTACGTGCTCTGCATTGAAAGAGTCACTGCAGGGGATGCAAGGTTTGGAGAAACACAGTCTCCACCTTCCACAAGCTAATGAACTGGTGAGTGAGGAGAGAAATAAGAAAAGTTACACACATCTCTATAATACAAGGCATAATATGATATAAAAGAGGTACACAGAAAGTGAGGGTTCTTTGGGAAGGAAAGGTCACCTTTAGATGAAATTTGTAAGAAAGGTTCCTAGAGCCATAGTATTTTGAGAGGGACAAGTGAAGTTTAGGCCAGTAACAATGAATGAAGTCATAGAGGTAGGAATGAACATATTTGTGGGGATGGTGAAAAGACCAATCTGGTCATAGTAATGAACAATGGGATAGCAGGAAAAGAAAATAAAGCAGAATAGAAAACATAGGATCAGACTTCAGAAAGGTTAAAAAAAAAACAGGCATGGGAGTTATTTTATACATTCTAGACCACAAGGAGCCATAAAAGAATATTGAGCAAAGGAATGACATGGCATAAGCAGTTCTTAAGGAATACCAATCTAGAAGAATTATACAAGACGTAGTACAAAATGCAAAGTCAAGGAGACCAACCAGGAGTCCATTGCAATAACAGAGGTGAAGCAATGTGAGCCACTGCCCAAGTGGTGGTGGAAGCAAAGGAAAGCAAAATTCAAGGCTCATCACAGAACGGCTGTGTGGCTTAGGGCTTACGAGCAAGGGCTCTGCAGGCAGACGAGCTGTTTTTGGTGGCTTTCTATGACAGCAACCCTGGACAGATCACTTCACCACTTGGAGTCTTGGTTTCCATATTTGTAAATGGAAATAATAATAGTACCTATTACGTAACATTGGAGGATTAAATGAATTAATATCTGTAAAAGTACATAGAACAGTGTCTGTCCTATGTAAGTCCCCCATCAATGTTCATTATTAGTCGTATAATTATGAGAAAAAGATAAATAACTTGGTGAATGGTTAAGACTTAGAGGTGTGAAACAGAGAAGTCAAAGATGGACCCAAGTTAAGTGATTATAGACCTAGAAATTGTGATTCTCAATTACTTTTGGTCTTTTACATAGGTTTAAGGAAAGGTTGTTGTTATTAAATTAGTAGGGAGTATTATTAGTAGGTGGAAGAAATTGTAAAGTTGCTGTAAGAAAAAGAGCCTGAGATTGATTTTGTTCTTTTTAGTTTGAAGTGGCTTCTAATTGTAAGTCCAGCATTAATTTGAGTTAAGTAACTGCAGTTCTGGGTGAAATCTTGAGATAAAATACTTGGAAATCATAAAGTTTATAGTATGAAAGTCATGAACTCCATAAAGAAGAAAAAGAGTCTGTCAGGCATAATATTATTGTAATAACAATAATACTTAACATGTTTTTAGCATTATTCGCTAAGCACTGTACTAAGAGCTTCATTTGCATTTTTTTGTTCACTATGACACAATAACATTATTATGTAGGTAGATTGGAAACTATTATTAGCCTTGCTTTACATACGCAAAAAGTAAGCCACAGAAGCAGCTAAGGAGTACACCCACAGTCACACACTTGATAAATGATCTACCTGGGATCCACACTCTGCTTAGTCTTCCTGAAGCAGAGCAGATCCCACTGGTCATACCCTGTGATGCCAACACTGGCTCCTACTCCTGGGGGAAGGCTGTAAAATATTTATTGTTTTAGATGGTCCATATAAACTTCAAGTTCTCTGACACATTGCCAACTTGTCTTTTTCTGATTGCTTATCTGACTCTGCCTCAGGGCGATGAATACTTTTCAGGATGTCTAAATCCATTTTTCCCCAGGAACTGACCACAAGAGTGGGTGGATCTCTAACAGTCAATTTCCTGTTCCCTGACAAGCAGGGGCTTTGTCTGGTTTGGATACTAGATCCAAGCTGGGCCAGTCATTCCTGGCCACTCTATCCCAGAAATTTAGAATTAAAATGGACACTGAGCTAATCAGGGGGAGATAAGAACTGCAAAATATAGAACCTGAAGACCAGAGAAGCAGAGAAAGCAGGCTTCCAGAGAGAAATTATCGAAGCAAATGTACAGAGAACCCAGCAGGAAGTCCTGATGGCCTGGAGTCTCTCCTTCCAGTCCCTTCCTGAAGACTGTGTTTCATGAGGTACTTTCTGTCATCAGACTAAATTCCCCTCTCTTGCTTTCTGCTAGTTCACTGCAATTATGGACAACCAATGAGTCCCATTAATATGCTCACTCTCTTGTCTTGACTTAGGTTTCAACAATTCATTTTAACAACACTTACTATATTCTTGCCATAAACAGGTGGTGGGGATTCAAGGATGAATTTTTGAGACCAAGTCTGCTTTCACAAATCTCACAGCTGAATAAGAAATATAAGCTCAAGAGCAATAATTTCAACACTGTGTGGTAAGAGCCATGATAGAGACATGCAGAGGGTGCTGTGAGGCACAGTGGAGCCATGAGTGGGTATGTTTTTCCAGCTGCTGACTGACTCTGAACTTGCGCTCCATTTTCTACCCATCGTCTGGCCCCTGTGCTCTATGACTTGGACCTTCTACTCTGGTGTGGAACACTAACGCTGGTAGTCTTGCTAGTCCAAGATTTCAGTTCCTAAATCTGGCTGAACAGCCAAAATATCTCCAAAAAATTTTGAGGGGCACAAATTTCCAGCCCCTCCCAACAAATACTATTATTTTGTAGGTCTGGGGAGAGCCTGGGAATCTGTATTTTTAATTGTCCCATCAGATAATTCTGATGCACAGATTTAGATACCACTTGGCTACTTGACTTTATTCTTATTTCATTCTTAAACTCTATCTCAGATCTAACAGTCCTTAATTCTAGCTGTACATAACATACCAAACCTGATGGAGTAGGAGAAAACAGGCCATCATGATATGTGAGCTTTGGGGAGCAGCACAATTAATGAAAGGTGTAAAATGAAACAGTTACAGGAAAAGAAAGAGAAAAATGACATTCAATAAAGTCAAAGAACTTTGAAAAACAGGGACGACTATCATTTCCACAGAAAAATGATTACTAAATGAATGTTTATTTGTACCAAGGACTGCTGTAAGTGCATTGCACACAGATCTGCCATTTTGCGCAATTCCACAATGAACACAGTGTGAATTGTATTCCCTTGAGCTATGCATTTCCATAGGCCTGGTATAGTTATTATGGCATTCGATGTTCCCAATAATTCTGTGATGTATGTCGTTATTATCTTTCCATTTTACATATGAGGAAGTTGAGGCACAGAAGAGTGAGCTCCTTTGCCTTAACCAACTCAGCTAACAAGGGGTGGAATCAGGATTGGGAGGCTAGGATCTGTCCCCCAAGCCTGTGTAAAGCCGCTTGGCAGGAAGTTGCTCATTAGTGATCTTAGAGAAATTCCACAGATAAGTAGGGAGGGGAGGCAGATGGAAAGGAGTTCGCAACTTATGCTGATCCTGTAATTATTCACTTTTTACATTAAAGATAGGCAAAACTGGTTGAAAAGGATCAAGGCTTACTTCCAGATTTGGTGTGATTTGCACCTTTACCAAGTGAACAAGTGTAAATGAAATGCTACTGT